TACTAATTAAGTTTTATACAGTTAACAATTTATATATGTTTGACAGGCCCGATACAAGAGTAAGGGCGCTCAAGCTGTTGACGGGGTATGCTATTATTATTTTGGAGTATCTTTACTATTAATTTATTTGGATTGTCGGGGTACAAGGTAGCACATTTACATAAATTATCAACTATGTATGTAGACTAACTAATGGAATAGGCTTTCCTTGTAAAAAATGCTATGGATTGCCATAAAACAGAAAAAAGATATTAATATAAAGTATGCATGTCAATATGTGCTTAGGTTAAATTTAGTAAAAACGAAATTCATGCATGTGCGTGATTTTTTGATAATTTTACTCTATTAAACAACTCATGCTTTATTATCTTATATATAAAACTTTCAATCGATTGGAGCCCAAAGTTCAAACCTCACATTTCAAAGCAGGAAGGTCACACAATTTCATGCTTACCGTTGTAGATGACCTTGTTTTTGTTGATGATCTTGTGGAGAATCATTCATCTACAACAGTAAGCATGAAGTTATGTGTACCTTCATGCTTTGAAATGTGAGGTTTGAACTTTGGGCTTCAATCTATTGTAAGCTTCATATAGAAGATAATAAAGCATGAGCTGTCTAATAGAGTAAAGTTATCAAAAAATCATGTAGATGCATGGGTTTTTGTTTTTATTAAATTTAACTTAAGCACATATTGACCTTTCTAATTTATATTAGTATCCTTTTTTTTGTTTTATGGGAATCCATAACATTTTTTTGACAAGGAAAGCGTATACCATGAGTTTGTATACATACATAGTTGATAATTTATGTATATGTGCTACCTTGTACCCGACATCCAAATAAATTAATAGTAACGATACTCCATAACAATAATAGCATACCCCATCAACAACTTGAGCGCCCTTACTCTTGTATTGGGCCTGTCAAACATATATAAATTGTTAAATGTAAAAAGCTTAATTAGTACTTACATATATAATAGTATTCATACATAAAAAGAAAACATTAATCTCTTTTTTAATGTTACCCCTTACTAACTCATTCTTCAAAGTTACTTCCCAGCTTTCACTAGATCCATCCTCGTCCATTTCCTAGCATAAAATTAGTTTATGTTAATAAAATATAAAGAAACCTATTGAAATTTCAAGCAGAAAAATAGAGGTTAGTTTTCTTATCAAGAAAGGAGAACAAAAAATTATACCTGTCAAACCTGCATACTCCTGAAAAACCTTTGGAAATTCTCCTATTAGCTCTTCTCATTCCTTCCCAAGTTCCTGATCGAATCAGTTACCTCATAGTCACATGCTCTTTTAAGGTGTAATCCCGGTAAGGTACCCTTCTCCTTCTTGCTGTAGTCTGTAGCACGGATTTCCATGATGCCTTTGTTCTGTTTAACTGAAAACCTCCCTTGAGCATCTTATCTTTCCCTTTCTCCTTCCATTTGATGGATAAATCACTGAAATTTACCTATACCTCACCAAGGCTAGCCAACCATTCAATTCCTACACAAGATCAGTACCTCCTAGTTCCAAAAGATAGAAATCTTGAGTAATACACAACCCTTGCACCCAAATTGGGAGCTGTTCACATTTTCCCCTATTTACAACATGATTCCCAGTTCCCAGTTCGACCTTGGACCCATTGTTTGCATTGTAATTCAACCCCATATCTTTAACCAATCTCTGAGAAATGATGTGGGTAGCACCTGAATCAATGAGGATTACTACTGATTTGCGTTTTCTCGTATTCCTTATTTGTCCCTGAGTTTGAAAATGTTATAAGTATTGATTCCTTCCTTACTTAAAATCGATAGCTGCATATAATTGGTTTGACCTCCCGTGTCTGTCTCCTCGGTCTCCAACACCTGCAGCTCACCTTCCTCATTTTCTTCTATTGATTCCACCAAGATTAGCTGGTAGTTTTTCATTTCGCACAGGTGTTCTTTACTCCATTTCTCCCCACATTTAAAACATTGTCCTCTTCTAGTTCTTTCTTGTAGTTTGGCTTGAGTAAGTCTTGGTCCTCCCTTTGATTGTTTATTGAACCCACTAGAATGTTCATGTTGAGCTTTTGAATTGTCCTTCTCCAGTATAGGAATTTTTGGTGTGACAAATTTCCCTATAGTTTCTTCCGCGCTGTACTGACCCTTGGATGGATTCATTCCCGTACTTATCCATCCTCTTCTGTCTATTTCCTTTCTTTCCCCTTTTGATGTCATGTTTTTCCATTCAACAAGCAGGGCTTTGTCCATAAGAAGATCAGTTAACTCACTGGTCTGGTACAACTTCAGCTCTGTGCTAATTTCTTCTTTGAGGCCATTGAGAAATACTTTTTTAACATCTCTGGGTCAGCAATTTTGAGGGGAGCTACTACCATTTCGAAATGATCCTTGTACTCCACTACTGAATTAGTTTGCTTAATTTTGAGCACCAGACCAAACGGGTTCTGAACTAAATCGGGCAGGAAGCGTCTGATCAAAGCTTCCTTAAAGTTACTCTAGGCGTGGTCATCACTCATCAGTCTGTTCATCCCACCATTGGTCCCACCATTGGTACCATTTCAGAGCCTTTTCGGTCATGGCTATCAATACAATTTCCACTTTGTCACCCTCCGATACATGATTTAATTTGAAATAGCGTTCAACCCTGATTGTCACCGTTTCCGCTAAACAGCAGTATATCCACCTTTCTTCCGGTATAAATCCGGTTGTTAATTCTCGTATGCTCAGGAATACGAGAAACGAATTGAGAATCATGAGGTTACCTCTGGAATTGGACGAACTCACGCTGGCAGAAGTCTGACGTCGGCGATTGGTGGTTGATCGTCCTCTTCTTCTCCTGTGACTGCCCTGGACTTCGAGACATTGCATCTTCTCCAGCAACAACTGTACTTTTTCGTCCATCAATGCTTTCATCTCGGCTCCTATCTCTTCCCTGAAAAGCTCCAATGATCGCTCCAAACTTTCCAGCCTCTGTTCCATGTTTGACCGAGTGATACCATACACAGGTACAATGATCGATGCTTTGATACCAAATGATAAGAACGGAAATACCCGAACGATCACTCTGAAAATTTATTGTAAAGATGAATATTGGGTCTCTAGACTTAAGATAAGACTTACTCCGTATTAAATAATTGGTGGACCAAGTAGTACCCAGCTGTATCTAGCCTGTTCTGGACTTATTTGTGAAATGAAACCCACCTAATTGGATTTTATGTGGGATACTCTAGGTATAGCATTTTAACATTGCTCCATTTTTGCTGATTTCTCTATCCTATCCTCTGCTAAAGGTCTGTTTGAAAGGGGAGGTTTGGACAGGAAGGTTTTTGAGGGCTCAGTCTATATAAAAACTGAAAGATTAACATAACATGTGACCATATAACATTATAACCGCCTTTTATTCATTTTAGAAGGGTAAGAATCATAAGTGATCTTTAAACTATCATCACCATATCATTTTGGTCCCGAAACTAATAAATCTCTCATTTTTAATCCTTACTATATGTAGTCTGTATCAATCCAGTCCTTTTGTCACTTTTGCCATTAAATTGACCTCCGTTTTTTAACAGTTCTTTAAGATCCTTATTTAATTTAATTTACAATTAAGGAAAAATCCTCAGAGCTTGGCTTTATTTTTATAGTGCAAAGGTCCAAATAGACTCTTCTACTATTTCCATAACATCACTTAAGCCCCTACACTAAAAAATGTATTTACCTTAAAAATCGATCAAAATGGTCATTTTCCCGGCATGACCTGTTATATGAAGTTATTTTTGAAACAGATCTAATGATATTGTTAAAATTTGAAAAACAGGAAGTAAAACTATAAAAAGTTCAGAATATAGAATCTATATTTTTTGTGTTTTTGAATTATTTGTAAATTATACATCTTTTTAAAAGTTTTACATTTTAATTTTACATTTTTCTACATTTTAATTTTTTTATTTCTTTGTTACTGATCCTTGATTTTAACGTTTTAAAATCATTTATATATTTTGACATTTGTACTATTTATATTTCTATTTTTTATATTTTAAAAGTTGTATAATTTTATAAAATTTCCCAGTTTTCTTAATTTATTTTAAAATGACCTCCTATAGCAGAGGAGGTCAAGATGGTTGGATTGATTGTGTTTTCAAAGTAGTGGTGCTTATGTGCATTCATTTTTTTCTTAGTATATGGACTCAAGTGATGAATTTAAAAAAGATATCTATTTAAACCTTTTACTATCTTTAACGTAGTTAATGTCTTGAATATGAACTGCTTTACATGTTTACATGACCATATATTAAACATTGGTCGTAATTTAACGGAAAAATGGCAGGACAAGGACTTGATTAATACACAATACATAGAATAATGATTCAGATGATAGTTTTATTAGTTTGGGGACTAAAATGATATACTGATGATAGTTTAAGACTTTAAGGACTATTTATGCTTTTTACCCTTTTTAGATACATTTTTTAGACTAGCTCTCCAAAGTCTTCCCCTCCAAACCCCTCAAAACCCCTTCATCCATATATACCCGAAGTCTTCAGAAGCCAAGTTTATAACTTGATAAGTATAGCGTTTCTAAAAATGATTGAAATGTGATTGAATTGCTACATGAACACATATTATGTTAATTATAAAACCTCAAATATGTATCAAGATATAGGATGTTTGTACCTGGACCGAAATTTGTTGGTTGGTCTGGTCTGTTTAAGTCTAGTCTGGTTTGAACTGATCTGGTATGGTAAACGTCTGGTCTCTAGTTATTTTATAACTATGAATGTCTGGTCTGTACCGTTTAAGTTTAAGTCTGGTCTGGTCTGTTTAATTCTGGTCTGGTTTGGGACTGAAAACAGTCCAAGTAATAACATCCATAGACTAACCCCTTTGAAGTGGTCCCCTCCAAATCCCTCCATACAAAGAAACCCTAAAGGTTGCAAAAACTTTGTGTTTTCTCCTAGAGAATTCATGTCATCTGTTTATAGTTTCTTTATCTTTGCAGTGGTGAGGAGGAAAGTGCAAATTTATTGCTGAACAAGTTCAAATGGGGCCATGCTTTTTTGTCCCTCAATAGGTACGTTGTGCTTTCTCTTGGTGGTTTTATACTTTTATTGCCTTCAATGTGATCATTTTTAGGGTAGGCTGGAATTTAAAGAAAAATATAATGGCCAACACGACTAGAATAAAGACAGTAAACAAAAATGTGATTATTTACACAGTAAATTAGTACCATGACAGTAACTTTCGGTAACCATAATAATGCCCAATTTTTGCGACAGTGACCATGACGATATACTCATTTTAACTCTAGTTACATTTTTTCCATAAGTTATATTCATGTAATATTATAGGGAAAACCCCAAAAGGAAAGGAAAAGGGAAAAATAATAAAAATACCCCAAACTTTGAAGGGGTGTGAGGCAACTTGCATATGTAATTTAAATACCCCAAACTTTATATATAAAGTTATTTTCACACCATTTTCATGTATTATTTCTTTCGAAAATGTATATTTATTTAAGGTGTTGGTTGCATAATTTAAAATATATTAGAATTCATGAAGATGCAATTAACATTCTAAACTTCCATTGCGAAATAAATAATGTTACCCCCAATCTACATAATTGCAACACCTTTAATTTGCTATTTTAAATTAAGCAATTAACCCCATAAATTTACATATTTGAAAGAAATAATAAATGATAATGGTGCGAAAATAACTTTTTATATAAAGTTTGAGGTATTTAAATTACAAATGCAAGTTTGGGGTGTTTACCTCACATCCCTTCAAAGATTGGGGTATTTTTATTATTTTCCCCAAAGAAAAATGATAATAATTATATATGATAAATCGTTCATTCTTTTGTAGCTTAATATGTTGCCACTAGTGGTTGATCTTTTTATTTTTCACATCCTGCTTGCTTGTTATTGAAATATTTTGCTCAGCTCTATCTAGAGAAGGCAGAGAACACTTATGGAGTTGTCTGTCTAAGAAATGTGTCACTGCACCTTTGTGTTGTTTAAATAAAAACTCACTTACCTGAGTATCTGATCTGTTTTGAGGCACACTGAATTGTCTTCTTATACTGCACACTGAATCGTCTTAGTAGTCTGTTTTCAAATTTGATAAATGCAGAGAACTTTTAAAGGCATACTCTGAATGCAAGACAAGTTCCGAAATTATTTTAACTCAAAATGAATGGCTCTCCAGGCAAACCTCACAGGTCCCACAAACCTTTGCACATGCCCATGGTAATTATGCTCCACTATTCTTTTGAGTTGATTTGCAGTTTACAGTTTGAGAGAATTGCTCTATCTACAATTAAAACTCAAGTTTTTTTCAAAATAGGACCCTATGTATTATACTATTATTCCTTAGCATGGACTTGTGTAATTCTTAGTTTGGAAAGTTTACTAATTTTATCCCAAAATACCACCCATAGATTTTAGAGTTGACATGTAAAGTTAGCTTTTAAAATTTAGAGTTTAGCATTTAAGTCTGAGGGTTCACCATTTACTACGTAATACATACTACGTAGATTTTAGTGGTGGCTGTACGGTGGCAACAGTGGATGTGCCGGCAATATAGTTAAGTCCTACTAATGTTTGTAGTCCTATTTAGGGAATAGTGACATGGTTTGCTCCTATCTGAGGACATCTCTTTAATGTTGAAACTCAAGGGGTGTTTGGTTTGCAGTGTGACATTGCAAAAGTAATGTAGTCAAGGTAATGTAATGAAACATTACCGTCCCAATAATATAGGTAATCAGTAATCTCACATTCCTTTATGGACGGTAATCATATTTACACAAAGATAGTCTCAAATTTACCCCCCCCAAAGTACTCCATATTGACCAAAAAATGGCTACTAGCTAGGGTAGATTGTCACTCTCAAATGTAAAAGCATACTCTATGAGTTTGTTTTATTATGTTTTTCAATCAGCAAAAGATGCAGAATCTCATGAAGGTGGTGAAAATTCTTCTAACGACTCTGATGATGGTCTTCCACCACTTGAAAAAAATATGAATCATTTGAATTTGGTGAATAGTGATGAAGAGAGTGAATGAGGCGCTTTCCTTAGCGCAGCAATCTAAAACAATGCTTATGCGGCAACAGATTAGTCCGGACAAGCCCGTATCTGTCATAGCTTCTTGTCTTTTATAATGTAAACTACTCCTCCATTCTTAAATAGATTCACAGCATGTTGAATTTTACACTATTCACATGTTGTACTTTGATTGTATTTTATTTATTAATGTATTAGAAATTAAGGTTTTGAAGAATATTATTATATTCCTCTCATTTTAAAATTTCGAAATCTGAGTTTTTTATTAATAAGGAATAAAATACATCAATAATCAAAGTTATGTTTTAGCAAATGTGAAAATAAAAACGCAGTAACTAAAACGAACTGAGGAAATATTAATTGATTTGTGTACTACTTTCATGAGCATGTGCTTATCTGGTATCCTTACAAGTGGTTTAGTTTGGGGCCCTAGTGGTGTCTAATACACTACATTGTTCATTATCTTGGTGTAGAAATGTTCAAAGACGTCTTACATCGTTCATCGCATTAATTGTTCTAATGTTTCTATCAATATACTCCCATCTATTTCACATATGATTGTTTTAACGTATTGTTTTGGGTTTTGCTCCGTTTGAGAGGGAAGCTTCCTTGATTCCTTTGCTTTTTGCGTTAAGTCCTCTTATCCTTGTGAACATGCTAGAATTCGAGTTTTGTCCTTGGAGCTTGGGGAATTGCTGGAAATATTATTATTAATTTCCTTGTTGATTTTCATACCTTAAATTTGAACGATCTCTCTATTCGGGTTATAGGTGTAAGAGAATAGAATGTAGTCACTGTACCTCTTTTGAGGAACTTGCCCTTCGAATGCGATCACATTGACTTGTTCAGCTTAATCTTTTTGGAGTGTTGGGCAAAAGTTTATTGGATGCCCTTGTTGCTGATGCCGCAGGCCTTAACTTCTTGAGTTTTATCTTAAGTTTTATATCTTAGAATGAACTCCTTCATTAAGGAAGCCAACTCGTCAACTTGATTCACCGGGGATGCGTTGGATTATGTTGTACGGACTTTTCAGGAGGTGGATCGTTGGCTCAATTGTCTCGAGTTTTCAGCCAACTTCGATGGGATTTTGTTCACAAATACCTCCTTCACAAGTGGCGTTCATCATCTTTCTCTCAGCTTTGGAAAGACCATTGTAAAAATATAGAATTAGGTCGTGCTTCGTGTAGCCATGATAGGAGCTAACACATAGCTTTTTTGATCCAAAACTCATAGATGATTCAACTTCTTTTTACTTCCCGTTGCTAATTTGCCTCTTCAAGCTCGATGAGATTGCAGTTGGATAGTATTTCTCAAGGAAACACTTCTTCATGGCCATACATGTGTGTGTGTACACACACACACACACACACACACACACACACACACACACACACACACACACACACACACACATATATATATATATATATATATATATATATATATATATATATATATATATATATATATATATATATATATATATATTCTTCCCGATTGAGATAGCAATATCAATCTTTTATCGAGTCTTTGAGAGAGAATGGAAAGACCGTTAAGTCGTTAACAACATAATTTGCTCTTCTATGACACCATTTGGTTTCATACTCTTGCGAACTATATGAAATTTTGAAAGTTGTTTGTTTGGATTTTCCCCCTTCATTCAATGAAATGATGGGAGAAGCCAGAAGGTGAATCAACCTTGATTTTGATTCAAATGTAGTACCTGCATCAAGATTATTGAAGGTGATACATAAGCATTGTTGATTAAGATTCGGGATTGTGAGCTCTCACAATGTTCTTGTCTCATGTTCCATCTGAGCGTATTCTTTTGTTTTGTACAAGCTGTTGAACCTTCTGAGTTGTTACTTCAAAGTTTATTTTTTAACCTTTGAAAGGTTTGTTCTATCTTTGGATTTAATAGGGTAAACTTTTACCATAAATTTTCAAATAGCTCAAAAAAGATTTGAAATAAGATATTCACGTGAATTTTTTTTGTTTTATGCACCATGGGAAATGTATTCACGTGAATATCTTATTTCAAATTACCCGAATGATGCATCATTCGGTGTTTTTCTTTTAGTTTTTTGGGTACTTTTGAAAATCGGAGTTACTATTAACTGTCTTTCTCAGTCGTTTTTAACGGTGTGATCCTCTTGTGATAACGGAATTCAAACACATGAACCACTTTGATAAAAAATGAAACACATTACCCTATCTGAAAACGGTCCCAACCACAAGTATCGTTTCTGTGCTTTTCCATACTAATTTTCACTTATTTAAATGCTCATTGATCACGATTATTACTGCAATTTTTCCTTTTGAATACTTAATTATGGAGAAACTTCAATTCATCTAGATAATTATGGAGTACTATTTAGTTAATATAGAACAAATGCCTTATATTGATCTGATATTAGCAATTTATCTTTAGATGAAATCAATTAAGATTGACAATCTCAACACAAACGGTTTCGGTTCAATCAATATAATTAATTCCTTTTTAGACTAATGCATGCATTAGTAATTTAAAGTTACTACTAATGAAAGGGTGAAGTGAAAAACATATGTTGCAATGTTCAAATATAAACATGAAATAGGAATAAGAATGTAATTAATACTCAAGAGAGGATGATTATAAAAAATTATCACAACTTATAAATCACAAGTTAAATATTGCAAAACCAATATCAAAGAGTTTAGTTCCTCATTGGAACCTAAACACACTAGAAAATATAAGAAAAACAATTAATCTAAATGAACTTTAAGATGAGGGATAATAGATATGTAAAATAGGAAGGCAAGGGGTATATTTATTGGAGTTCTGAGATTGGATAGTCGGATTACTGACCAGGTATCCTTATGAGTAGCTATAAAAGTCCCGAAATCTAGTCATATCCTTATGGTATATCAATGCACGCGACCTGGTATATCACCAAATCTGATTTTCTTGTGTTCTTTTGCTTTGTATTATTTTCTCCGATTTTCGGGTCGAATCATACTCGATTAGGTGTAATCTCAAGTCAAACATGTTGCATGATTTCTTGCTCCCTTTCACTTTCTTTTGATCTTGTATCATTTCCTCCTTACCCCCTTGTTGATCTTTTGATTGTTTCTTGGTCTAGGACCTTTTAAAGCTACCAAATTCCAATAAAATAGAAAAACAGAAAGTTGCAACGTATACATAGAAAACCAACGTGATCAACATGTCTCTGTAAAATATATGATATGTCTAAAGGAAAGGAAAATCTCGTTGAGTAGATATAAATAAGGAGGTGGGCAAGCAATTTTGTAAATACAAAATCAAGTTGAGAGAGATAAATGTATTTTGTTGAACCTCTTCATCAATTAAATGATAATCTAATATCAGATGTTTCATTGATATTAAATACTATATTTCCACTCAAAAAATGGGCTCCAAGTTTATCCGTATAGATAGGGGCGGAGCCAGGCCGGACTGGGTCGGTATAAAGAATATTCTTGAAAAAAAAAATTACAAGGAATTTTTAACACTAAAAGTATAGACATTTTTAAAATTTGAGTTGGTCCAAGGCCAGGCCGGCCCTCCCCTAGCTACACCCTGCGTATAGATGATAGAGGGCAAGCCAAAATTGATAGACAGTTCATGAAGTAGAGTATTAATTCACACGAGTTACATGGTCGAAATAGGGTCATAGAAATAGTAGCACTTTGGATTGGCAAGTACCCAAGCGAGATATAGGGTAGAGCTTTAGGATTTAATGTGTGAGAATCATGTTTTCGGGTATGGATAACAAATACAATGAAAAGATATGTCTTTACGATTATTGATTAAGAATCAAATAGTTTATGTTAATGAAACACATAGGCTAAAGTGGGCACATAGAGACAAGGAGATTGGTATAGGAAGACATTTTATAAAGGAGAATTTATGTTTCGATCAACTTGTGTTGACTCTTACCCATAGATATCTTATGTATTTTGCCAAAACTTTGCACATAAGAGAAATGCTAGATTGCTAGGTTAAAAGAAAAATATATGGGAAAATGGGCAAATAAGCCATCGAACTAACTGAAAAAGTGCAAACAAATCAGTGATCCCACTTCCCTCAAAATCTGAGAACCAAACTCCCTCGATGTCCCTGTCATTGCACAACCACCTTTTGTAACCCCCAGTGACCACCACCACTACCCCCAACCCCCATGCGCTCACCTTCCCTTGCAACTTCTCCTGCCCTCAGTCTTCCACTGCCTTACCACTCCCCCTTTCTCTTCCATTTCCCATGCCCCCTCCCCTGTCACTGCGTCTACCATGTCACTGCCCCTACCCTTACCCCCTCATAGACACTATTGTAGATTAAAAATCCTAACAATCGATGATGGTTTTTAAACCTAGCCACTAATATGGTGATACAAGATTTTTAAATAATTTATAACTTTCTTACCCAAAACAGGAATAAGTCTTATATTATAAATCATTGTCTCTAGAGCAACTTTTGTTGGAGTAGATTGGTATAGGAAGAAAAAGTGAACATCTTGTATTTGAGTATTTTATAAAGGAGAATTTATGTTTCGAACAACTTGTGTTGACTCTTACCCATAGAAATCTTATGTATTTTGCCAAAACGTTGCACATTAGAGAGATGCTAGATTGCTTGGTTAAAAGAAAAATATATTGATCGTGTGCATATATCATAAACTATTTGAGAAGAGAAATAAAATTGGTTTTAAGAAGAAATTATGGGCTGCTTTTAATTGTTGATCCCATCAAAAGATAATGACTTGTTTCATGAGTACACATGGTATAGAGAAAGCAATATCGAGACCACTAGGAACATGCATAAATTATATTATACAATCAACTATACCTTGGGGATGGTACAATCGAATATTTTTGAAATTATTCTGAACTTTGAAGATAAATGAAAACATTTCCCCCTAGTTCCCTAATTCCAGTTTCACTGAACGTTCGAGCCCTTTAGCTCCAACCTTCACCATTAGCATCACCGTCAAGAGCGAGCTTTCTCCATTGATGCAGTCCGACAAAAGAACAGATTCCCTCTTGCTGCAACCTAGGTATTTCTTCTTCGCTTCATGGGTGATGCCTAAGTCATTCGAGGTTTGCCACTCACACCCAAATGTCCCAGCGCTCATCTCGCACCAGAGGCTTTTGTTCGCGGTTCACTGATTCCTCCAAGCCAAGGAAACTCATGTGCCAACTGCATGTCAGATTGGATCTCGCGACGAACCGATTGGAGCTTGATTACATAGTCTCAATGCTCAATAGTAGAGAACATGATATTCAACGAAGATATTTTGATG